GATAATTCTTATATGTGCAAAGATTGGTCTCAAGTGGGTTAAGGGCCCTAGGAGAATGACCTATTTTTGTTTGTAGCACAGTTCCAGTACAGCAAGATTGCTGTGCTGAAGCAGACCAGGGGATAATCTACCCTGGTATCCCATTTCATGGGATTCATCCCATTTCTTTGCTGTACACCTCAGCAAAGAGTGAAACCACCCTACCACTGCATCTAGCTCTGTACTTCCCTAGGAGGTATAGGAATATTTGTGCATACAACTACACGTGTCGTACATTTTCACATGCATATGGATGTGTTGTGGCGAATAAGACCATGTGCTGTGCTATTTGATGGCGTTGGGTAATTCCAGGAGCTCTGACCCTGCACACTGAGTTGACCACCTTGCTCACCAGTGGCAAAACCCTGGGTGAGGTATATAGAGGCAGCAGTAAAATCTGGAGGCAGTCCTGCACTGAGTTATGCCTAGCTTGTGCAATATGCCCATCCAGAGGAGCTCTCTGAATGCATGCTGACGTGATGGAGAGGTATTCTTTGGGTCAGTGTGTTTCCAGTGGGAAGTAAAGGCTGCCTTTAACCCCAGCCAGCCTCTGTTCTGTAATCTAGGGACCACCTGGCCACAGCTGGGCACTACCTCCCTGGAGGAGCTCTGTGGAGGTGGCCAGGATAGTATGTGCCCCAGGTGGGATGTGGCGGGCCAGGGCTGGCTCCCCCTTGAGCTGCTGTAGAGGTGCAGGGTGTGGGCAGCACATGGTGGGGCACAACAACCACATAGACCTGCTGCATCTTACCAGACTTGTGTGGCCTGGGAATCAGTGCCCAGAGAGCATGTCTCCAAGTGCTGTTTGAGGCAAAGAGGTTAAAAGTCACACTTCTGTTTCCAAACTTTGCCAAGCTGAAATCTAAGATAATAAGTCACAGGCAGGATTTTTCCACTATTTTTTTGCAGTGTTTTGAGCTGCTTTCACAGCACATTTACTTGTCTTCCCAAAGCAAATCTGCAGGTGTGGCCCAGCCACCAGGCTGAGTGGCATCCAGGAGCTCACAACATGACCACTGGATGTGTCACTCTGGCATGTCACTACTGCAGCTGTCCCCTCTCTACCTCTTCAAGGAAACCTGCTTCTTCCAAGATCTGGGAGTGCCCAGTGGAGATGCCCTCTGAGCCACAGAGTGGAGCCCCCTTGGAGAGTCTCAAATTCTTCTCTTGCTCCCTTTCAAGGGTTTCCTGTCCTTTACAGCCACGTCTCCATTTTTTCGCAGTGCTTTCATTTTAGGAATATAATGGGAAAAACCCCATAGTCACGAGCAGGAGGGAAAAGTATACCTCATTCCCCTAGAGTCTCCTGTGGGTAGGGTGCTGCAGGCATGTGCCTGGCATCACCACCGTGGGTGCAGTCTGGGGTCATCAGTATTTGCACCAGATGAACTCACTGAGCAGCTGGTGTTACTCTGTAGCTGTGTCTGCAATCCTGGGTGGAGGGGTGTGTGCAGGCAATGCACTCATGTGCCAGCTCTGGCCAAGGCCCTTACCTTTACATGTGTGCATTGTGAGTGGAAGTGGTGCTGATGGAGATTCAAGTAAAGCTCAGGGTGTTGAAGTGATCAGCTCCATCTTCAGAGGGTACCCGTGGCATAAGGAGATGGTGGCCCAGAATCATCCTGGCACTTAATGGGGATGGCACCTTCAGAGAGTTGCAGTCATCACGCAGGGGCCTGGGAGGCAGTAGTTTTTTTCCCCATCCTGTTTCCGTCCCCTTCACAGCCTGGCTGCAACCAGTTCAAAGGGGGAGTGGGAAAGAGCTGGGAATCACATAGGCATCTCAGGGTCAGAGGGTTCTATTATAACAGCCCAACTCTTGCTGTCACTGTGGGCCTACGAGGGGTTCCCTTGAGAAACTGAGTTAGAAACAATTTTCAGCCAAAAGGTGAGTGAAATTAGCCATGTTTGTTTAAGATCTGCAAATTCGTGGCTGATCGAAGACCACACACTTCAGCTGCACAGTGGGATTTTCAGTGGTACAAACCTTTGTTCCCTTCTTTCCCTGAAGGCCAAAACACCATCAGACCTAAAGGCTGCTGGCCTGGGCTCACTGCAGTTGCCCCATGACTTGAAATAGTAGGAGGGAGTAGAGTAGCCCTACTCCTGTGAAAGACAGGAAAGGAGGGAGCACAAATTGCTGGGGGGCTGCCTTGTTGGGGGGCTGCCTGGAACGTGGGGCTACCAGCAGCCTTCCTGGAAGAGATGTGCTTGTGAACACAGGCAATTTGCTGCCAATTGTCACATGGTCCCCCAGGACTGTGGCAGCAGCAACAACATGCAGGTGGTGGGACAGAGGCAGGACATCGCAGGGGAACAGGGAGGATGGAGGTGCTGAGCTTGGTGTCACGCTCGTCTTTGCTCGTCTTGAGGCTTTGTGAATCCTGCCAGTTTAAATACTTGTTAATGGTGTTCTCAGGGACACAAATAATTATTTGAGGATCGTAATGCTTTTTTAATATTGTTTTTTTGTAGGTCCTTGAGGTCCATGAAAATCTGGACAGGCAAATGCAAGACAATTATGAAGAAGACCTAAGTGAAAAGGAGAAGGCGATTGTTCGCGAAATGTGCAATGTAATAACTCCTCTCAGCAACTCTTCGGGTTCCTTTTGTGGTCATTTGTTAGAAGTATGGAGGAGCAGGGATCTGCTGTGTGTAAGCCTTGTGAGGCCTACAGGCACAAGGGAAGAGTGGAGGCTCTGCTGACCGCTGTTTTGGGTGTCTGTAACATGAGTGCCTTGTTCACTGCACGGAGCAGCCTTTGCTCAGCAGATAGTTCCCACTTTGCTGCCTTCAAGGCTGTGGAGTAGCTCTTGTAGCTGACCGAGATGTGCAAGGGGCTCTCCCTTGCAAGAGTCCTAGCAGTTGTCTCCACCTGTGCCGTTAGGGATGTGGTTTGGGCCAAGCAGCAATTGATTGCCATCTTTAAAGCCGAACAACTTGGATGGGTTTGAGCCTAAACCATAAGATAACATCAGAGGGAGAATTTTCTTGTTATGATAGGTGGGATGCTATTAGCACTGCCAATGTTTTGGGCAACCACACTGTTAACTGAGCTGGCCACATCCTGTATGGTGAGCGTTTGTACCAAACCACTGCTCTGAGGTGTCTGCTGGGTGTCTGCTGTCGTGGCATTGCCTCCAGCCTCAAAGCACCTTGGCCACTCCTGGCTTTGAACAAAGAGTTTGGGATTTCTGCTAGAGCACAGCCCGAGCTGCACGATGCCTACAGTTGGGGATGTGCTGTTCGACTGCCCACAGCAGGGAGGATGATGCTTATGGGCTTTCTTTTTTTAAAGCCCACGCTGAAGGTCAGCCCAAGTGGCATCATTTAGTGCCTCCCAGCAGCTGAGAGGAGCCTAATGCTCTGTTTTAAATTCTGAAATACACCTCAATCCTAAAAGGAGGGTAGAAAGAACACAAGTGCATCTTGCAGAGCTAAATCACTCCGAGCATCCTTGGCAAGGGCGGAGGCACTTCGCTTTGGTTGCTGGATCCCTATAAGCAAAGCCAAGACCAGAGTAAATGAGAGCCTGCTTTTTAGGATATTGATGCCACAGTCCCTTATAGCTATGCTAGGGGAAAGGTAATTTACCATAACTTCATCCTCCAGAATTGACTCGTTTCTATTTGTCTCTCATCAGCTGTTTTTTCTTTAAATATTCATTTTATGTAGATTCAAGGCAGTGTTTTGCAGTTTGTTTTTTTTTTTTAAATAGTCTCCCTTACCCCAGTGGCCCTAGAGGGATAAAATGTATGTTTTTAGAAAGTCATGTGTATATAATTTTAATCATTATCTTTTTCATTATCTTTTCTGTTCATGGTAGCATCTTTTCTGTGAGCATGGCAGGGTTGACCTTCCATTGAACTTAACTTCTGAATCTAGTGTATTTGTTTTATACTATTACCCCAGGCAAAAACGGTTCTAATTTCAAGAGGGACTAATTAGAAAAATGCATCAATGGTTTCTTTTCTTGGAAAGTGGTGCACAGATGCCATCCAGTGTCCCTGCTGAGAATTGCAGCCCAGATCCAGGAAAGGGCTGGTTTTGACTTCAATTGCAATTAAAAAATACTGCAATTCCTCAGAGGCTTTGATGTTTGGGTTTTTTTAATCCCTGTCTTCTCTCCCCCATGACTTTATTTTTTCTTACAGGTTGTCTGGCGAAAGCTGGGTGATGCTGCAAGCTCCAAACCCTCCATCAGGCAACATCTGTCAGGAAACCAGTTCAAGGGTCCCTTGTAGGAACACCATCCTGGTGACTGGAAGTGATGGATTCCGTGAAGACTAAAGAGGCAGAGCTCAGTGTTTCTGGCTGCCTGTTCTTTAGGATTTGGGGTTGAGTTTTTTTCAGGGTTTCCTTTTTCTTCTTTTTTTTTTTTCCCCAGCTTTTTTTTGTAACAATAGTGTAAATATGGCAGCTAAAGGCCTGATTCCCAGGCTGTGGTGCTCTGGAACTACTGTTCAATGGGTAACCATCCAATAATGCCAGACTTGCATCATTTGTATTGTAGTCCAAATCTGCTTTGTTGTAATGGTCTGTTTGTAGAATTAACTAACTCCAGAGAATTTCTAAGAGGAACAAGAAGAACCCTTGACCTGCGGAGAAGTCACCGTTTGTACTGCTCCTGTCCACCCACTTGTCAGTAATTCATAGCTGGGTTAGTGGCTCCAGGCAGCACTTTCCAAGGAAAATGCAAGTCAAATTCATTGGCTTACTGCCTGCCAAGTTCATGAGCTGCTAACACTTTTTTTGGAGGTCCTTCTTTTGAAGAATGACATGCAACTGTTTTCACAAGGCTCTGTGTAAAACATTGAGTGGCAAGCTAAAAACACTTGTACCACCATACTCTGTATGGTGGTGCTCATCACACAAGCGTACAGAAAGGCTTGAGACTCTGTATCAGCTGTTAATGAACTATTTTTCATGAACAAATGACACAAGATTTCTGCAGTTGTAATGTGAATGAAGTCATTTAGCCACACACCAGTATTCCCTACAAATACGGCAACACTTTTCCTGTAAAGCTTTCACTACAAAGTAATTCAGCAGAAACTGCCATCCTAGCAGTGCTTATGGCTTTCACAGGATCTTCAAGAGCAGCTCATCTTTCACATAAGGAAGATTTGGGTGGGTTTTTTTAATGTTCTTGCTGGATCCCTCACCTATACTGGTTCCTGTGTAAGGTAACCAAACAACCTTGCAGAGCTGAATAAAAACTCCATAAACACGGGCTATCAGGTGAGACTGCTTCCTGCCATTCAAGCTTTATTTTTGTGAATGAACCAAAACAAGTGAGTTTTTCCTTCTTCAAATGGTTGTATATAAAACAATGGGACTTATATTTTGCTATTGTGGAGTAGCTGCCTGTGTAGTTGTAAGAATTTGACTCCCTCCTTTTCCAAGTTGTCACAGCAGCTGTCCCTGTATTTCATTAGATGTTCTTTCCCAATAGTCCAAGGAAGCGGGGCTTCGTTATTAGAACTCATTTCTGTAACATAATTTTAAAGACAGGCATGTGAAAAGATCAAAGCCTCCTCTTCAAAAGTTGCATTGATTTTAGTGATTATTTTGAAGATGTAATGACCTCAAACACCATTCCTTTCCTTTTATTCTCTGTAAGAATCAGTCACAGCTACAGACAGCTGAATTAGCTAGACAGGTTCTTCCTCTTAAATTAATTTGTTCTACCAGTTGAGTTCTTGACTTGTGGTATTGTATTAACAAGGAGCACCAATACAATACCAAGGAGCCCATGCTGCAACTCATGAAAGGTAATTGGTCCCATGGCGTACAATAAACTAGCTGCCTGGGTGAAGAATTTGCAGTGTCAGAGCCGAAACCTGTAACCAGTAAAAAAATAGAGAAGGAATACAACCGAAATACACAGTAACCCATAAGAACCACATCATTATTCACTGCAGAAATAAAAATGTAACAGTCGAGTAGGTTATTTAAAAACAACCAAGAGCCACCCCCGAAACGCAAGCGCATATTCTCACTCACACACTCACCAGTAGATTTCTTACTATTGCTCAGTCAGTGAACACTGAGCTAGCTAGCTCTCCGTCTAATAGTATTTACATCCCATGGAGTCTGAAAAAATCCATTCTAGAGTCTGACTGTGTCCTTAAGGCACAGGAACTTTAGAGGATTCTGGATTTCCCCATCTTCGCTTTCTGTTTTGACCTCCAGTTTCTAGTCACCATTGACAATTACTTGTCTTCCTGCTGTACAATTTGTACCTTGAGATTTCCATACCAGAAAAGGTGATGCAAAGCAGAGGCATCATTCTTTCTTAGCATCTAATGTCAAACAGGGTTACTTTAATCTATCTGCTTGAAAGCCCATTTAAATTTTGGTGGCATCTAATCACTGGATTAAGCAGAGAATTTAAGTATATTTGGAACAAGGTTAATTTATGTCAGTGAATTTTAACTAAAGCAACGCAAATGTTGCCAGCACTTGAAGAGAGTTAACTGTGTTGATGACATGCTTGCTGTTTAAGGGGTATATTAGGCTAGCAGGTCCTCTCAACAAGAGAAGAGCTACATTAATCAGACTACTGGTCTCACCAGCTACGTAATTCCCATTCAAATATTTCCTGCTATCAAATTTCTCTCAAAGTCTATTCAATGACTTCAAGCAAAGCTTGTTTTGTTCTACCTGCAGATCTCACCTACAGGGGAAACAGTGCTGCGATTGAGGTCAATTCAGTAATCCTGGAGAGCCAGTTTACAGGGTAGCCAGCAATTCATCTGAACAACCTTTATACTTAGGGTACCGCCCATTGATTTTTTAAGATTCTATTTGGTAGCATCATCTTCAATATAAGATGTGCATCACTGAATTTGCAGAAGAACACAACAGTGCTGTACCTTGGGGTGTTACTGTTTGGAGGTTTTTAGGCTTGCTACTCATCATACTTAGCTCTATTTGAGCTATAAAGTGTCTTCCTGGGGTAAAATGATGATCAATGACTTTACGGGATGACTTGGGTGCTGAATTTTCAGCTGTTTAAAAAGGTATTTTATATGCATATTTAAATTCACTATGTGCTAAGTCTCCAGTGAAAACTACCTGAGGAGCTTTGTACATTAAGTTGGAGGAGAGCATCCCTTGAAATAGTGGCCATTAAATTGATATATTTGGCGCAATAGCCCAAGATAATTTCCTCAAGATTGAAGCCCTGGGTTCTGCAATCCTCTGGCAAAGAAAGCATCCACTGTTTACAAAAGGACTTTGCTTGCTTAAGGAAAGTAAAATCACATCCTTGACTTTTGTTGGAGTGACTGAAGTAAGCAGCATTTTCCTAACAGTTCCTGAAATGCTGCAGTGTAACCAGCTTCAGTTGGCTCTTCGCACCTTGATAAGACTGCCGAGCACAACCTTGTTTGAGAATGGCACATTTTTATCCAAATATTAGATATTAAAAGAAATCAGTGTTAAAGTGACCTTTTATCTTTCTAGAAACTGTGGGGGAAGAGTACTACTGATCTTTTTCAAAGTGCATGACTGTAAAGTGATAAAATTGTATATTTTTCATAATGTGGGGAAAGTCTATTTGTGCTGCTTTAGAAATCAGTTTAAAGTTTGATTTCTGTTAAACCTGTGATCTTACAGCCCTGCTATATTTTCTGTATATGAATTACAATGAACTGGAAAAGTTAGCACCTGCTGTTGTGTATATAGCAAAATTCTTTAGACCTTAGCACGCGTTTTTACCTATTATTGAACCACTCTGGCTTTTTTGGGGAGGGAAAGTAATAGTACAGATTTTTTTGATAATGTGTGTAAAACATTCATTTGAAATATTTTAGTAAAAATGAAGTAAGAAATTGATTGTGATAGTGTATACTTCTAGCTGAATAAAATAAAATACATTCTTTTTAAATAAACTGATGAATAAGATTTGGGAGACCACTGCTGAAATATCTTGCCGTTAAGTACCATAGTTGTGAATTCTGAACTAATATGAAGAATCTGGAAATCCACTAAATTCAGAACCAATTTTATTTGGGTAGAGTGAACAAAGTAGTCCCATTTATAACTATGATGTACATCACAGTAGGCTGTTACATTCAGACTTCAACACTTAGAAAATATATATATTATGTACAGGAATTTGCAAATAGGTGTAAACATACAATATTTTAAGATACCAGTACATTCCAAACCAAAACTATCAGCAAGGCAAACACCTCAAAATTATTCCAGTCAGCTAGCATTCAGAATCTCCCTTAAATAAAGCAGCTTTCATGCTTGACATCATGTTCTTTTTATTATTACTAAAAATGAAGTTTCTTATTATAGATCACATATCATGGTATCTGGCTATTTTGATACTCAAAAATAGGCACTGATTTCTAGAAGGAAATTTTCTTCTTACTGATATAATTGAGCCAATATGGCTGGTTTTGCTAGTACAAAGTAATCCAGTGCTGGAATAAGTCAAGACAATTTAAACTTAAGTCAAATGTATAAAGTTAGAATAGATACTGCAAAGCTGATTAAAATCTAAAAGCCTATATAACTCACCATAAACAATACTGCAAACAGATCAGCTAAATTTTCATTTACTCTCATTTCTTCATCTAAATTATACAGATTACCCTCCTCTTCATCTTTACAATGTAGGTTTTGGCTAGCTACTCCTGCCTAGTCAACATAAAGGTATCGTGCAAATTACCTCATGCTATCTCATCCATGTAGCACGTCCCAGTCCTGCTACAGGTGGCATACCAGGTGGTGGAATTGGAGGTGGGACAGGTGGCTGTCCACCTGGGGGAACAGTAGGCGGGGGGTAACTAGCTGGTGGCATTCCCAGCCCTGGAGGTGGATGAGGTGGTACTGCATGAGTTGGAGGCAGTCTCGGAGGTGGGAAATTAGGATTGTATGTAGGTGGAGGAGGATATCCAGGAGTAGGAGGTGGAATATTGGGTGGGGGGAAAGAAGCAGGGGGAGGAGGTGGAACTGGTGGTGGAGGGTTGGGAGGATAGACATGAGGATGATATGGTAGATGAGTTGGTGGTCCATAGGCCGGTGGTAAAGCTCCGTATGTTGGTCCTTCTGTTTTCATCATTGACTGAAGACTTTGATAACCCTCCCCTGACATGTAAGAATTTGTAGTAGACATCCCTGTAATATAACTGGTGGGGGGTGGGGGTGGGGGACGATGTGGCAGAGGTGGAGGTTGATGTACTGGGGCAGGATGAGCAGGGGGAGGAATCTGGACCTTTGGCATATCTACTGAGTCCACAGTAGTAGATTGCTCTGGTTCTCCCATTGAAACTGCAGTTGTCAAAGGAGGCTTCCGCTCTGGAAAAGAAAATTTCATTTATTTTTTTGAAGTGGCAATAACAGCTTCTCAATACTTTGTATTTTTCTTCCAGTTAACATAGCAAAAGAGAACTCAATTCTCTATGTCTCTGAATGCCACATGGTATCCAGTCAGACCTTCTTAGGTCACTGAAAAACAACTAAGCTCCCTAACAAAGCTTCAAGGTCAGCTTTTCCCATTCTAATAGTTAAATTCAGCTTCCTTTCCTATTACTAATTTTTTGTAATTTACATATTGTTGTACAATCAGCAGAATTAGCAGACTGGATGGACGGAATCACAACTAGTGGATTTAAAAAGTCATGGGATCCAAGGTACCAAAAATCTTTTGATCAGTGCTTCCATCTTCTTTAGTCTAAGTCTAGGCCTCCTTTCTACCTCTTTGATAGTCCAGGAGGTATCCTGGGATTACCCTCTGCACTTCACCTGCCTCCCATATTGGGAAATATTATTTGAGAACACAGACCAAAGTCTCAAGTCTTTAACACTCAGTTCTACACCTGTGTACCAAAAGAAAGACAAAAGGAAAACCGGAGGGTAAGTAAGAAGGACATAAAATCTTATCAGCTTTGTTCCACTGATTAGTTTCAGGGAACTCAGCACCTGACACTCTGGAGAAGTTCATAAAAAGGTCAGCATTTTAAAGAATTACACTTGGCCACTTCTGGAAAGGACATGTTTTAAGCTGTCTTCTCTTTAAATAAGAATTTTTTTTTCCTCCCTCTTAATGCAGACTCTATAAAGTAAAGAATACCCCTAGGATGACTGACTTAATAGCAACCTCTGTGTATGGACAGAGAGGCAGTATTAAAATGGCCCACAAAAAAGATTTTGGGGCATCTTGACATCCATCTTGCTCATATATATAAGCATCTAAAACACTGTTCAGTAAGAAAAGTTATTTAGAAGCAGGTATAGGGCAGTCGTTTCCGGTGGCATACTAAACTGTCAGCGTGAAACAAAATTCGAGGTAAAGCCATCTCCTAGTACTTGTGTTAATTTTGTCAATATGCATTCTTGGTTTTCACCTGATTTTTCCACAGAGTTGCCCTTTAAAGACTATTCTGAAAATGTTTCAATGCTCACACAATCATATTTTTGTAGAAACAAATTCAAAGAGGAAAATTTTAGATAACAAGGGAAACAAATCTACTACCTGCCTACGTAGGATTTACCTTATCTAACCAGTGATAATTTTAACAGCAAAGTCATCCCCTAGGACAGCCACATAATTAACCATGCAAGGTGGGTACGCTGGCTGTGGTACCTATGATTTCAATGACTTCTAGCTCCTAAATTATAGCAGGCAATAATTTCCCCATTTGCTTATTTTCAGAACCATTCTGGATGCAAGATGTGCATTCAAGATTTAACAACTGAAGGAATAATGAACATGGTATTTAGAAAAAACCCTTCATTCTTCATTAGATTTTAACAGCTGGGAAAAATGGTCCTACTGTATTTCAGAGCACTGCTTTTCTCTCTTGTACTTTCCTGTTCTGAGCTGTCATCTTACAGTTACATTATGGACGGTGGTCTGTAAAATATTTATGTCATATTTAAGGGTCACTGGAAGGACAGCTAATGCATCAAGGCGCTGGAAGCACATTTTTACAACAGTACAGTTTATTTGGCAAACATAAGGCATGTGTGCAGTGTTACTGTTCTCTGGCAGATAAAAGTCATCTTCTGATGTGCAGCAAAGAATGCATCCCTTGTATTTAGAAGTGACACACCTGCAGAATTCCTATACTACAGATGTATAGGAATACAGATGCATGGAGGACTTCTACAGGACAGCTGGAAGCCCATCTAGTAATCTAATATGGCATCTGCCTTCCTTTTGAGATCACGAGTCCCTTCTTGCCTGCTATTGACAATTAGTTTCAGTCTCCTAGGCCTTTAAGAGTTGCAGCTTTGTTTTGCCCTTGTCCACCCAGTATAGTCTTGTTTCCATCATAAGTTTTTTACTTCTGTCTGGAAAAGCCTGTGCTAGTAACATGAAATTCCCTCTAGAGGTTACTGAACTTACATTTTAACTTGCCAAGCTGATTAATCAAGGCAACAATCCCCTGCCCCCACGCTGTTACCTACCGTGACCTGGATGAAAAGCAAGGCAATTAACAACAAGAGTAAATGTGCTGAAGAAAATAAAAGCTTACCTGGAGGGGGATGTGCAGGAGGTATTGGTGGATGTGAAGTTTCAATTTTAGAAATTTTAGATGGTGGCGGTGGTTCTAAAAAACATTTGTCAGTTCCTAATTGGTTATTGCTCTGCAATATTTTCCAAATTCCAACTCTGGTCTCACACTAATGATTATCGTATCACATTACACTATACAGAAGTACAGTGGAAATCCTATATACTAGGTATGTTTAATAGAGAAAACTAAAATCAACATCTTTGTATAAATAAAGTGGCATCAAGTATCCCATACAAGTCTTCCAAAAGAACCCATGCCCACAAGTCCAAACAACTTTAACTGGAGACAAACTGTCCCAATAACAGTATGTAACTGAAGATGAGCAAGTACATGTTTTCTAGCCCAAAACTTTAACTTGTAAATAGTTGAAACATCTCAGAAGAAGTTGACTGAATTAAGACTGTATTATGAGACCCTTGAGGCACAGTTATACTCAATTATTTCAAGTTCTGCAGCTAGGAACTTCTAAAAAATATATTTAAAGTATATATTTAAAGATGCATTATCAGGATCAAAATAGTTTAGAATTGCCAAGCCTGTAAGCAAACAAAGTGCATGTCAGCAAATGACTTATTCTAGTTTAAACAGCAAAATGGAAGCAATATGAATAGAATACTAATATTTACCTGTTGTCTTTGCTTCTTCTTTTGGAGATACAGCCTGTTTGGAGAGTGAAAAAAAAAGATTAAAATAAGACCATTACAATCAGTCTCTTCTCCCAGGTAAACAGGACAAGAGGAAACAGACCCAAGTTGTTCCAAGAGTGGTTTAGATTGGATATTAGGCAAAATTTCATCATGGAAAGGGTGGTCAGATATTGTGGTTGAGTCACCATCCCTGAAGGTATTAAAGACATGTAGATGTGGCACTTGGGGAAATGGTTTGGTGGTGGACTTGACAGTGCAGCATTAACAGTTAAGAGTCAATGACCTAAAGCTCTTTTCCAACCTAAATGATTCTGTGGTGTCTTTAGACAGATGCAAGACAAACACTGAATAAACTCAAATCACGTTGGCAAAGCCCAGCTCAACTGGGCAGAATGAGATGACTGGAAAAATAGCAGGTATTTTAGAGACAGCATTTTCTACTGTTCTCACTGTGGAGTATTGCATCTCATTTAATGTACTTATCATCCACTGCACATCTGTCATGGTCTGGTATGCTGCTCACTGAGCTGAAAACAAGAGACCTGGCCTCTATTCCAGGTTCTGCTTTGACCTGTCACTCAACCTTTGCCAAAATCACTTCAGGCCTTTATGCTTTATTTACCAAGACAGGAGGGCAGTGAAAGTGTTGCACAGCACAGAACATTTCAGAAGCCTTCAGATGGAAAGCATTGCATAAAAACCAAATGTAATGCCTTCAAAAAAAATGTATGCACTCTGAGCAAAACCCACAAAATCTCACATCATCTTTCCAATCACAAGTTTTTGGTTGGGTTTTTTTCTTGTTTGGTTGGTTGTTGGTGTATTGTAGTTTTTTTAAAGAATCTCAGATAATGGAGTAAGAAAAAATTTTTCCAGATTACACAGTCCCACTGAGATGACAACTTAATGGTCTCAGAGAAAAGCAGAAAACTTAACTGAAATTTTAAGTACAAATGTATTTAAAATTAATGATAGAGGTCAGAGGGGCATGGTACACAGCTTCTTCGTTTTTTCAATGAAAAGGGTTTTTCAAGGGACTATTTACCTCTAGTAGCTTTACCTTCACAAACTGTTGCTCTGTTGCCTTCACTTTCCACAGCAAGAATGGGCATACATTTCAATTCAACTTAAACAACAAATTTTCCTTAATTCTAATAGGTATTCTCAAAATTTTTGCTGTCCCATTTTTGCCTGCTTGAGGCAATCTCTTTCTTATATTCCTTTGATAGTCATTTCAATTTTCCAGACACCTTCCAGCTGCTTTCCAGCTTTTTAAGGACAATCTTTATCTTTCTATTTCAAACACACATACTTTTTTCTTGGTGACTCTCACAAACTCATCTGCTGCCTTCATTTTACTTGGGTGGTCTTTTCTTGACTTTCTAGCACTGAACTAATTCCTTGCCTGTAAAACTGCACACAAACATCAGCTCTTCCTGCGCTTTCAAACAGAAGCAAATCTCCACTACGGATTGGACCTTTTCCAAAAATCAGTCATTCTGTGAAATCAGTTGATCAAGGTGATAAGAAATTAAATTACTGTGCATTTGTTAACATGGAACAATGTTCAAAAAATAACATAATTGAGGTACACCATTAGAATGGAACAAGAAGCAACTGAAGCCAAATAACTCGTGTGACAGAAAAGCAAACATCAGTTTAAACTATATTTATGCTAAAGAAAAAAGAAAGAAAAAAAAAAGAATCAAGCAGCAACAAAACCAAAATCTATAAACATTTAAATCACCTCTAATGGCGGCTGCTAAAATAGAGATGAACATTTATTTGGTCCTTCTACTGTATTGTAGTTTGTATTTGCCCAGCCAGGACATCCCAGGGTCATAATAAATAATAATAATCAACCTTATTTATTAGCATTCTGATGGATATTTAATACTTTCAGCTCAATTCAAACCACAATGGAGCTGTTCTTTCACTGCTATTTCTAGTGCATTAAAATTGGTCCCACTAACAACTTCTAGTTTAATCCAACTAAATGAACTATTTACATCTAATGATTCATAATATATTTTTAGTGAAATCAACTGAAAGTTTGAGCACTCTTCACCACTAGAGATGCAGAGGATGTGCAGATGCTTTAGACATCTGATGTGGGTCTGTAAGTCATGGGCCAATGCCTCAGCTGCTTGAAAGTATCTTGGCTCAGTAGAAGGTAACAGAGTTATAAGAGTTCATGTAAACTGAAAATCTGGCCTCCAGGAACAAAGTGTATTTCTGTTCTGCACAAACCAAAGATGTCATGCAAAGCATTTACAGAAGGAGGCAAAGATTTTTAAGTAAGGTTTATGGTACATCTAACTGAGGAACATTTTAGAAGCACCAAGTAAATCTTTCAAACACCACACATCTTGTTCTCCCAGACTGCTTTCTGGAAAAAGAACAATTCCAGATCACCATATTTGCTTTTCTCCAATTTGTGCTGTTTGTGCTGTATTCCTACAAAACTCCTGTTGACTCCCTGTTTGCTTTTTATTTGTTGTGGATGACTACAGTGTACTAGGATTTAACTTTTTCTCTGTGCTATTTACGTCCTTAATTATTAGGTGATAGAACTCAAACTAATTTCAAGAAGAGCTAAGTTTCTCTGATGGCATGACCAGAGGTGGTTGTTAAAGAACAGATAGTATTCATGCAAAAGGCATCACTTTTTTCCATGAGGTAGTTCATTAGAACATGTGATGGGGCAAAATCAGTAGTACTGTAAAGGCCGTTACGTGAATGAACAGGCATTCATAACAACATCCAATGGATGCACATCAAAAAAAACAAATTGTTATTGCTAGTTTCTGATGTGCCAAGAGAGTTCCCTGCCCTAGAGGTCTGACAACGCAAACAGAATTTGTGCTGATGGCATAAAAGCATGAAAAGAAATACACAATACCTATGAAGAGCTCTCACAATTTTCAAGCTGATTAACACGTTATCAGCTTTCCATCCTGCACAGTGCTAAAGTTCAGTGAAACAACTAAAAATTTCAGTGCAGGTGTTTTCCTGTAGTAGGCTGTATTTTGCAATTACAAAATCAACATTTTACAGAGTTTTGTTTTTGTCTTTTTTGGGAGGCTGCTATCCTGAAGATGCTGCACCCTTCCAAATCCATTTCATTCGAGCATTTGAGCATTTGCTGCTTCCTCATAGTTTTTGGTTTTATTTGGTTTTTAGGTTGGTTTGATTTTTTTCCCCCCAATGTCTGTTCTCTAGTTTGGGCCCACATTAATTACAAGTTAGAGCAAAAGCTGTAAAAGCTGTACAAAATTTACTTCCTACATAGACTTGTTCCAAAGATTTTACTTCAGAAAGCACTCCTCTTGCTAAGTACATGCAAGAAGATTTGGGTAACACTTTCGCCCTTTCCTGGGATAACTTTAAAGTGAATAAAAAATAATCCTAAAAAGTGTAGATTAAAGTCTGAAAGGTTAATTTGAACTTGATGACTGTGGAAAATCTCTCAACTGCTAATGGACCACTTATTATGAAGTGATAGTATGGACAAAGTGAGACTTTAAAGTATGATGAATATTTAGGCTTCTACTGTTATTAGATTATTTTGAAAGTCTGTTTTTAGGAGTTTTGACACACTTTTATTTTAGAGGCCACTGTTCTCTTAAAATTTGCAATCAAAGAGTCAACGTCTTCATCATCATTATGCACATCTCTACATTCAGGTGTAGCACAAGAAACCTTCCCTAAACCATGCCTGCTTAATAGAGAAAACAAGGAAGTTTGATAGCACAGAACCACAAACACTGAGAACCTTAATAGCTCATGCTATTTCTCCACTGGTTTTGCTTAAAGTGGAATAAGAATGTGATATGCCAAAACTGTAAAGGCTGTTCTGCATTAACATACTTGCTAGATAACCAATGAAAATCTACCATATAAAATTAATTACCAGGCTCATTCTTAAAGCAAACACAAGTCTGCTGCACACTGTGGCCTTCAAATCAAGTGGGCATCAGATCAGCCTGAAAATAAATTGAAAGTTAAAGTTCAACTTACTGCTGGTCTTTTAGTCTGTCTAGGAGGACTTGACTGGGGAGAGGGCTTTTTAGATTGCTGTGCTTGTGTTTGCTGCTGCTGCTGCTGCTGTTGCTGTGCTGACTGTTGCGACTCTTTTTGCTGCTGAGTCTGTGATTGCTCTGAACTCTGGGACTGCTGTGACTGCTGTACTGTAGGTGCCTGGGGTGTAGATTGAAGAGATGGTGGCTGCTGCAACTGGTGAGGAGTATGATGAGGCATTTGCTGTTTTCCTTGTGAGTACAGATCCAGGATCTGATGACAGATATCTTAATAATAATGAAAAAAGAAATCCAAAGTATTATACCATTTTCATGTACAAGTGTACATTTAACACACAATTATCAACTATGCTTTTTACTGGACATCAACTCTGGAAAAATTCATTGCAAATCTGTGTTACAGTGAACACAGATTTGACTTTTTTTAAACAGACTAATTTTCAATTTATACTTGCATTTCTGAGTTTCTTCTGCCTATGCTGAACAATATGTAGATGTATATGCACACCTTTCAGAAAAACACAGTGTCTTGGTATTAATACATTGTATATCATTATTGTGTGCCTGGAGAGCCAGGTAACCATGTTAACAATATTGCAATACAGCAAGAAAGGGAGTGAAAAACGATTATATGCTAAAAGATACACATCTAGTTAGGCTAGTCAAAAAAGTTTCAGGAAGCTAAGTAAAGGACCAAATATCTTCTTCCAACACGTTAGGAGCTAAAGGTCTGCAAGAAAACATGTAGATCCAACTGATAATCAGGTATAATAACAGCATTTAAGAAAAGAAAACCTTCCTAAAAAAAGCCAAATGAGCTCTTTCCATAAGCATTCAGTATTGCTGTAGCAGAAACTGCAGAAATTCTCATTCTACAACCCTCTTTGACATGGATTCAGAGGAGGATCTATCTGAAAGTGAAGGAACTTTGAAAAAAAGCTGCAATAAAGCCAAGGCAAGTAACCATTTAAGAAATCAGAACTGTAAGGTATTCACCTAAGTTCTAAGAGCAACAAAGGCTAAAGCACCTGAACAGCAACACATAGTGTTCTAATTTCCTAGAATGCAATGCCAGATTGTGACAACCATAAATTTTTAAAGAATATTTCTAAAGCAATTCATGGTACTAAAGCATGCTTAGCCTGACACTTCTAAGTCAATAAAAACTTTAATGAAGACAAATGACTGGCCACATGACCACAATTTCCTAAACAGAGTCAAGAAAGGTCTTGCTTTATTTTATGAACTTCCTGGGGTTCTCTCCCTCAAGAGGACAAGTTTAAGAGAGCTGTATTGATAAAAAAGATCCATAACTCATCCTCTATCTGAATTCATCCCCCATAATGAATTCACAAAAAAAACCCCTAACCTAGCCTAATTCAGTCAGAGGTCAATTATCAATGAGAAAACCACTGGAAACCAGGCTCCATTAGTTCCAGTGTTTGTAGAGTCACATTTAAAATGGGGAGAAGGGAATCATTAAAAAATTGAAAACATACCATGACGATTTATAAACTAACCAAGCTGTAAAGCAAATATTAACCAGAAGACTAATCATGATGAGTAAGTATGCTTCTAGATTAAGCCAGTCTAGTAAGTTCAATTTAAAACCTGGTTAAGGTATAGCACATACTACCCGAGTTTCACACTCGACACATAATTATTTAGACTAAAACCTAGATAAAAAGCAAGTTGCATTTATTTATGACCTAGGTCACACAGTTAAAAGAAATACTCCTCTGTTTGTGGTAAACGGTTTTCATACCTTCCAAAACATCAACAGGAACATCTTGGACAAACTGCTCCCACCATCGTCTGTACATTGGTTTTGATGTCCATTCTTGTATTTCAAACTTACACAAACGTCCTGCTAAGTACATAACTGCAACAGCTATGATCTCAGGCTCCCACTGCAGGGACAGGGTAGTGCAGAGACTAGAATATAAAATAAACCAAAACAAAACACAACCCTGAAGATTACCCAAATGTCAAAGTACAACACTTTAATGTACAACAGCTATAACTAACAGTGTATAAAATCCCCACCACACTTTTAACGTCTTGGGCATTGAGAGCCTTATTAAACAGAAGAGTTTACAAAACTAAACTGTTTCTGTGCTACCACTATCATGAAACAAGCTAATTTTACACAAATAATAGAGAGGGAATCAGTCTACAGAAGCAATAGAACACACAAGAACAACAAGTTTGGGGTTTAAAACCGCAAAACTTAACACTATATGGAAAAAGAGGGAAAAGACAGCATTATATTTCAAGTATGGGCAGCTACAGTCTCACCTGTAGTGTTCATTAAATATAGTGTTCATGTTCATCGCTACACAACTATGTGCTGTCACTGCATTGCACTGGTAAAGGAATGCTACCCACACTGGATTTTAGTTTCCAAATGTTTGTCAATAAAATGTAAACGAGTACTAAAAAAAACCCCCAAACCCACAGAACAGCCAACATGAACTTGTAAAGCAACTTGTAAGGGCAATGCAAGTTCTAGATCAAGCTGTAAAGATTATCTCTTGAATAGCTTTTGTTAAAGCTAATGATAAAATAACTCATATTATTAGTATTATTCATATTAACTCAATAAGTTTCTGTCATAATCAAAGTTACTATTTCCTGGAACCAATTTTAAATTTTGAAATACTTTTTCTCTCTTTTCCCTTTTTTCTCCATAGATTCTGTAACATATGGTCTACTTATGAATTTTAGATCCAGCTAGCCAGCTGAGTTTTTGTGAATTCACTGAGGCTGTGCTAAGAACAGAATCCCCTATTCTAAAGGTCTGTAGTGCAAAGTACAGAATTATTGTCCCAGGATCCTAGAAAACAAGTAAACTTCTAACAAGGTGCTGATTAAGTAAGCACAACACAGCCTCTTCAGAACAGAGGTAAGAATTAGGCATTATTTGGAATGATCCCTCCAACTCCATACAAGTGTTTTTCTGAAGTGCTTTTTCTTTAATTATTCATTTTTAAAAATTATTAAACACTACCTAATTCCAAGTACAATAGTGCCAAAATTTTGATGGATACACTACAGCAGTTTTCCCTGACAAACTTAGCAGTGACAGTCATGCCATAATTTTGTTCCACCTATAAGATCATCACCTGCAAGACTGACAGCAGCTGAAGTAAACATCTCTTGAGATACACATTAATTTTCCTCAAAATAATTTGGACAGTTCAGGTGATATTTACAGAATGTGAACCTATACAAGGCTAATTCAAATCAGGCACATGAATAGAAATACACCTCTTTTTTATGATGTTCTACTGCTGTAGCCATGACTGAAAGCCATGTATTTACCATTTCTTAGCAGTCAGGTCACTTTACACATTTTCTTAAGAGTTTGCTATGGAAATGAAAAATTACATTTAAGCATCCTTGGTGAATTAACTTGCCCAGCTCTGTGGAATCCTCCTTAACAAGACTAAAGTGTGTCGAGTTGTTTTGGTTGGGTTTTTTTTAATAGGACACTACACATGAGAAGTGCTTCTATACACACTCCTGCTAATTGATGTAGTCCTTGTATTGCAAATTCATTATTCGAGAAATTGTAAATTAGTGCTAAGAACCGTATTCCTTATTGAATTTAATGGCTACCTCACTATTACCAAAATACCACATTAAAAATACATTGATCAACATGATGGAATTGAGAAATGACTTCTTTTTCTCAGAATGTGCTACATATCACAGACTGGGCAAGATACCAGCTTCTATCCTGGAGATCTACAATTTGCTTTGGCCCTTTCAAACATTAACTTTTTTTTTTTTAATGCAGCATTAAATCACTACCACAAAATCGCAAAGTTCTTAATAGTCTACTTCTGTACTCATTCTGAATTCTGTGGTCAGTGGAACTATCATGGTAATGATGGAAAGAAAAAATGATGAACACGACAAGGAAAACATGTGACAAGCAGAAAACAAATAAGAAACTTTTGTCAAAGAAATATCTAATCTCACAACAAAGTTAGCAACAGTAACTATTTCACTTTCAAAAAGCTTCCTAGACTATCTTACCTGTCATTGACAAATGTCCATGCCATTTGAACCAGTTTTTGAATTTTATTTTTGTCTCCTGAAAAACAAGCAGATAAAAATTAAGAAATAAAATCAGGAGGGACAAATAGTTTGAAATAGAATATTCTTGTACTGTTAATGTATACTAAGTTCTGAAAATTAATAACAGGCATTACTTGCCCAGCTTGCAATAATTTACCTTTGAGTTGTTTGGCATACTTGAGAAGAAATTGGTATGGATGTTCCACTTGCAAATCAAACTTTATTGTTTGTAGTAAGATTCTTTCAAGCACCATCACTTCTTCCTAGAGAATGTTACAAGGTAACCACAGTGTTATTCCGTCTTTTACCCAGAGATATTCTACACTAGTGTAGAGCATGACTACACAGCACCTCCAGACAATGATGTTTGTCTGCTTTTGCTTGATTAGGGTTTGTCTCCAAGGAGAACAGAAATCTCTCCAACTTAAAATATTATTTTAAACCAAGATACCTTTTCTTCACATTTATTTGAGGGAGGACAGGGGATGTGGGGCTTAAAATTCCTTTTTCTCCACAGCAGAATGAACTGAATCAGACACAGCACGGAAGTGCCAAATACACAAAATCACAATAAAAATGTAAGCTCTCATCACATTTCTCTCATGAGTTTCAGCAACTTCTGTTATTTATAACAAGGAAATTTTGAGAGAAGCATAGTTTTGCTAAGTCAATACCCTATACAGGAAACTTCTCAATACTTCTGAGATCTAGTTCTCTTATTTAAGATTTGCTATTAATTGCTTCCTAAAATCACATTAAGATTGTTAAATATGAGTTATGTCTTGATGACATTTCTTGCTCTGACCGACATTACTCAAATTTCCTTTGATTTGCAAAATAACATCAGAATTTACATTAAATAAAATGTAAATTTTTTATAAAAACAATTATTCCAGTAAGCTCCCAAAGCTACTTGTATTAGGAAGAATTACTTTCATAGCTACCCATCACTTCACCCAGAAGAGACATAAATGCATGCTGAACATATAATTTAATTCAGAACAACTGAAAATCAGCCAGTGCTCTAAAGAACATATGCCACTTTGCTGGACTACAACTGGATGAAATAATTTCAACGTGAATATTTTTACCTTTGGGTCATCTCCAAACTGTCCAAACTGTACATCATTTAGCAAGCTACGAGCTGTTTTAATTATATCTTTACATTTCTTAGGTGTTTCTTCAACCTTTCCCGCTAGGAAGAGACAGCAGGCTCCTGTCACCTAAAAAACCAAAGTGCTTTCAAAAAGTTGTCTACGTGTAGATATGCAATATAGCAGAGCATTGTAAAAGCACTGTCAGTTTCCATTAACAGTTCAGCAGAAGTCTCCCAGGAAAGACTTAATGTGCATATTAATTTCTAATTTTAATAAAGCGGTAATTTAAACTTTTTACTTTCTCAAAGGAAAGATACAGATTTTGGAGGACTATCCATTTTATAAAATTTCATTTCAAGGTCAGAAAACCAAAGCACAATTTGTCCTGGTTCAGCATTGTCTGTCAAGTAGTTTTAAGATGGTATTACACTTCTCTTTTTCCTTTCAGCCAACACAGAAGTGCCAGCACTATAGCTGTTACTGTTGTCAAAGAACAGTCTCAGTAAGACATAACTGCAATGTCAATATTCTTCTAAGTGTAAACAGAAATGTGTAAACAAGCAAGAATAGTGTATTTTAAGCTGTAATGATTAAAAGACAAAATGTTTATTTCCCATCATTCAGAAGGGTGGACAGCAGCAGTACCCAAGTGATTAATCAGAATTTCAAGTAGTCCATTCCTAGTGCAATCACTGAATTAAGTCATCAATATTCTAAATACTTACATATCTTGGAAACTGTTTGAAGGAATGAAACATATAAAACCGATGGAAATAAATTATTCCAGTTGCTAGAGTATCATAATGTCTGTGGTGCAGAATAAGGACTTTCAAACAGGACATAAAACAAATTTAAAACCAAACATACATGAAGGATTCTGCTTTATCAAGTACCTCAAGTAATCGGCTGTTCAGTGACCAGTCAGAAAACGCTGCAAGTAAAACAGGAGCTTAAGAGAAAAAAAGCCACAAACCTCCTTAAAGCTGTGTAAATACTGATTCAGCCTAGATGCAGTAGATACCTAAAGCATTTACTGGAGGTGTGCAAAGTCCCACAGAAGGATCCACACAAGGTCATCCTCGTGTTACGCTGTACCTGCTCTAGACAAGGTCAAAACCAGCAGTAGGTACATGAAGGAACAGAACAATTATCACTTCACATTAAAGTGTTGGTGTGGAGGAAAGTACTAACTATTCACAACTACAAATGCAAATAAAGCCTTCTCTTTAAGAAGAGTAAAATTTAATTTTCACCACATTTTATTAACCAAAAAACTAAGGAGATTAAAAGAAGCATAGAAAAATAGGAAGCAGAAAATTTAAGTGGCTGTCTATGAGAGAGTGGGACAGTTGGGAGGACTTACTAACATGTACAAAGTTGTAAATCTCAAATCAACCGAACAAAAAACCAGCCACCATAAACCAAGACTGAGGAGGCAGAGGCTGGAAGTCTCAGATGCACAATCCATAGAAAAATGAGTGTAAAATTCAAAATTTGAGAAGTTACACAGATTAATATACTAAGACATTGAGTTTCATAACTGACAAAAGTTATCCTTAATTGGCAAGTCTGTATCATCTTACTTCTCTGTTGCCAAAATGGTTCAGTTGCAACCTTGTTTATCCAAGGAATGGATAAAAATCGTGCAGGAAAACATTCAATCAAAAGGCAAGTAAACACAGAAATATTTTTTATAAATGATTTAAAAATGGTTGAACAGCTACCTGAGCACGTGACACTTCTTGTACATTTTATTCTGAAAACCCACCATTCATACAAACATTTCACACCGACATGAGTTTAAAGGATACAGCCCTAAACGTGTTCCCACATCGAATATGAATCTGGCCCCCTCCCTGCGGTATCGAGCCTCAGTAGCTGGATCAAGCCCTTCTAGTTGGGATGGAGTATGTGCCAAATCTTTCTTATCCCAGTACCAACATGGCTTTGTATGGTCCAGGTTTGCCAAGTTTACAGAAGGGCTGGAATTTTCTTTATTCTCCTTCATTTATTAAAACAGAATTGTCCTTGCTTTTTAAGTTTTCAAAAAGGGTATCTCCAGAGAGTCGCTTCAGGACCTTTAAGAAAAGACAAAAGGATTTTGTTAAAAATGGAGAGGACTTTCCCCCCCCACCCCTTACTCAAAGAGGAGTGGAGTAGCGTTTAATCTTGCCCCTTGGAAAGGACTTTTTTTGTGCTCAAAGACAAGTAATAAATAACCTTGCCCTTATCCTCCCCATATACTGCAAACACAATCAAAGAAACAGCCATAGGTTATCCTTGCTATTCTCTATTTACTAAAGAAACTTCATGAATGCATAATAAACAATATCTGCTACTTCTTAGTAGAATAATTTCCACCTACTTTGTCCATAAGAATAGGGAAAAAACAATTCAGTGATGGCAGCAGCAAGATCTGAAAATCTGGGGGGGGGATCTACTCACCATTGGTAACCTGAAACCCACTGGTGAGGTGAGTCTGAACGTCCCTTTAAATACCTGCCTGCTCTCACTGATATCCCTGGTGCTAAGAGGAGCAACCGCTGGGCAGAAAGCTTTGGAAAGTGATCTGCACTTGTGTTTACTTGAAGGAAAAAAAGTAACAAAACCAGTGTTCCTTTAGATACCAAAATCAAGACAACTGGTGTAAGTCTGCAGGGTAAGGAGGCATCTAAAATCAACCTCAAAACAAGGCAGTTGATTACACTCCAAGACTGTGCCAGCCGGCACTTTGTGTACAAACACTCGGATCACAAAGCTCTGCAGCAGCTTTCTGGTGTCTGAATTATGACCGATGTTCAGTCACGCCTCAATTTAAAGACAGAACGAAGACTTACTGCCTTTATTTCTTTCAGGCACAAAACCACCCTCACTGCAATTCCACAAACTACAGATACTATGCATTTTACTGCAGTCACCTGCAAGGGTTTGCATAACAAATAGTGATTAACACATGATGCAATATATTCGTTCTGTGCTGAACAGCCACAGGAAAAAACCAAACGTAAAACTCTTATAATCAAGCTGTTGCTTTTCCAGACGTTTCTCTTCCGAAAACGGAAGAGAGATCACGTGAACGGCCAAAAAAAACTCCGATGCCGACAGTCAGCACCTCGCTCAACTCCAAAAACTTTCTCTTTTCCAGAATAAAGGAACCTGTCTTTGCCCCACGATGGCTTCGGGAGGACCTTCACAACGCGTGGTGTCGGTCACAGACAGACGAAAACCGTCACCAAAATAAAAGGAAACGGCTACTAAAAACTTTTTCCAGAACCAACAAAAGCGCGCCGTGCCACGAGCGCACATTCTCATCCTATTTACTAGAAAAAGCGCTATTTTTTACTACTGCTAGGGTTTTTCTTCTTTACGAGTTGTTTCACTTCCTAACATCTAAACAGCTTAAAAAACAATTAACATCGAAAGCGCCCGACGCGACATGATCCGCTTCTATAAGCGCCGAAAGCATTTCCGATCACAGAACTGGGAATGAATGAAAACCCTCACCCCGCAAACGTCCCAAACGAACCGTCTCCAAGGTCCCAATCCAGCCCGCACCGCCCGGGAAGAACAACGAAAGCTTTTCCTTGTCTATTTACGCGCCCCATTAATCCGGAGGGGAGCTCTGGAGCTCGATCGCGGCTTTTTTTCCACCTTACCTGGGACGACCCCGCCGACCGCGAGCGCGGCTCCGTCCCCCGCAGCCCCGAGCTCTGCTCAGCCCCTCCCAGACCCGCCCGCCTGCCGCACACGGCGCTGCCGGTGCCCGCGGAGGCGCTCGTTCCCCACCGCGGTCGTCCCCGCTCCCTCTCTCCGTTCCGCTGGCGGCGGGTCTCGGCCCGGGAGGGCCCCGTGCACTCACAGGGTCCACGGGGAGCGGCGGGGACGGCACCGGAGCGCGGGACCTCTCAGCGGCAGCGCGGCCTCCGCGCCCTGCGCGCCGCCATCTTGGGAGCCAGGCTAGGGTGCGTGCTGCGTCATCGCGCCGGAAGGGCGTCTAGCGCGAGGACGACGCCCCCCTCCCCCCCCAGTTTCGTCCCCTCCAATGGCCTCAGAGCCCGGGCGGGCGCGCGACGCGTTGACGCAACCTCGAGGTGGACCAATCAGAGAGCCGGAACGGGAAGATTGCCAGCTGTACTAGCCAATAGAAATGCCGAGGCGGGTTTAAATGCCGTGCCCTTTCAAAAAGCTGCCGGTGCGGTGCTCGCCGCGGATTGGTCCCTGCGGGTGCCGGAGGAGGAGGTGCTGCCAATGGCAGCGTGGGGCGGGGCCTGGGCCGCCCCTCCCCTCCCAGCGCGGGCGGCGCGTCCGGCGGGGCTCGGGCTGAGCCTCCTCGGGCCGCGCCGCCGCCTCGGCCCCGCGGGAGCGCCCGCCGCAGGGAGGGAGGTAAGGCCGGGCCGGCCGGGCCCCCTGTCCTGCCCGAGCCCAGCGCCCCGCCTGGGCCCGCGCCCTTCCCCTCAGCCCGCCCGGCGCGACCTCACCCCGCGGGAGGCGCTGCTCTTCCCGGACACCCCCTCCCGCCGCCCCCGCCTTCCCCCGCGGGGCAGGGCTGGGGCCAGGCCGGGCCTCCTCGCCTTCCCCGTGGCCCCGCAGCGCAGTCCCGGCCCCGCTCGCCGTGGCGTTCCCCCCCGCCCGGCCCGAGGGGCTGAGGGGCCCCCCGGCGCGTTCCAGCCCGGCCTCCGCCGGGTCAAAGTGAGCGAGGCGGCGGCACTGGCGCTTCCCTGGCCCCATCCCCCCGCCCCTCCCGGAGGATGATCAGAAACCAGAGTAAAACAAATGGCTTAAAGCTGCTTTCCCCGTGATGTAATTCCTTTTTTTTTTTTTTCTTTTTTTTGGTGTGTGACACGTTTTGAATGATCCCTACTCTTAGTCCAGCTTCCTGGAGAGGCTCCCGTGCTTGCAGCGCTGGGGTCTGACTCAGTGTGTTGCTCCTCTGGCTGGAGAGGAGTGCTCTGGTTCCTTTCCTTTCTCGCCCCGTCTGCAGCCTGCTTTAGTAATGGGGTTAAGCCTTTGGAGGAAAAAAAAGGTGGGGTTTAAAATTACAGTAAACCATCTAAACTGTTCGTCCTGCTGGGGCGTTACTCCTAAAGCAGCCTCGGTGTTCTAGGCTTCCCCTATTGCCACAAGAGCTGCTGAGATGGCCCATCTGAGGAACCCTCCTTCCTCTTCCTTCTTACGCAGCAGCACTTGGTTAGAGTTGCTTAAGCTGAGGCTTTGCCTTGCCTTAGCAACTTCCTAAATTTTGAATTTGTTGTGTGATTTTTTTGCCATAGGGGGATGTTCAGCCATCAGGATAAGCTCTGTTCTTCCTTTTGGAAGTTGTCTCTCACAGCGTAGTTGAAGGCTGCTCTTCCCCCAAGCGTGGTGTCTGCTCTTCTGGGTGGACTTGTCCATAGGACCTAAGCTTGCTCATGAGATCAAGTAGAAAGCGAATTGTCTTTGACCCTTCTAAGAGCATGTAATGTAAGCAAGCACCTGTCTCTTCGATTGACAGCTTTGTTCTGTGACAATTGCTACAAATGTTGGCTCAATGTCTCACAAGTGTTTTTTGCTCTCAGTTGTTGTGAGCTCCTAACTCACAACAGTGAAATATAAGTATTTTGTAGGTGAGTAAACAGCTGCGGCATTCTGTGTGTCCGCTATCAGGTTCCTGGTATAAAATAGTAAGCCAGCGTGCAAGTTGTTAGAGGGAAAGGCGTGATGAGCTTGAAGGCGGGGGTGTTTCCTGATATGTTTGCTCAATTAAGTAATTTAATATGGTAGAGATTCAAGCGTGCCAGCTTGTGCTTTAATAAAGTTTACGGTTATGTTTAGCAGGCTAGATTGAAGTATATACATTCTTGACATGGTGTGCCAAGAAAGAGATTTAGGGTTTTGGAGGAAGAAATGCCACAAACCCTGGAATCATTCATAATCTGGATGTCACTGTTCCTAGAGGTGGCCTGGTCTCTAGTTGAAGTCAGATGTGCCTTGAAATAGACTTCTGATTTCGGTATGGTAGATAAATTAAAAGTAAACCATGTAACGCCTCTCTGCATGCAGAAATGTACATCTGGATGATATTTTTATTGTAATAAATATAATCTATTTAGACATGTCTACTGTATCTCTGTAATACATCATAGTTGTGCTGAACATGTAGCTCAGCTGATGAATTGGGTGGTTTCAGCGTTCTAGGGGTTGCTCTTTGAAAAAGAAAGAGGCACTTAAAGGGTACTGGAGATCTTGGGTGATCTGTATCTTTTCAGACTGTCATAGTGCTTTTTAAAGGAGACCTCACAATGCCTGTGGCTTAAGCACTGAGAGCTTTTGGAGGCCTGGGGGATTCTGTTAAATCTGACCATGCTGGTGGCTGAAGTCAGTGTGTCTTTGCTTCCTTCTCAATGAGGAGTTATATTTTATACAGAGAGGTTAATATTTCCTAAATTAAGAACATATTTAGGAACATGTAAATAAAAACATTACAGGAAGGGTTTTAATTCTGCTCAAAAGGAATTAAGAGAAAAAAAGTTTATGGGAGTCTTCCAGAGGAACAAAACTCAAGCAAAGAAATGAAATGACAGAAGTGGTTTGGCAAAGAGTTTAACAGCTTCTTTTGTGCAAAGAGTAAATATTTTTTCTTTCCTGGTCAAATAGCTGTCTGAGGAGCTGGCTCAAGAGAGAGACAGGGGAGTTATTAATCTTTCAGAAAGAGTTTGTTTCCTGTGGAGCAGTTAGTAAACTATCTTCCCTTAGAAGATGAATGAGGTGTTTATAGTAAGAAGCACCCTTTGTGCCTAAGAGAGCTTTCATGGAAGGTGAAGGGACTAGGGACAATCCTGTAGTAAATAATATAATAGTTCAGAATTAGCAAGCTGATAAAAGTGATTTAAGAAATACATTTCTTTGAGCTGTTCTCTTGGATGTGGCCATTTTTCTTTGCCTTTCAGCATTTTGTGTTACCTTCAAATTAATAATTTCTTACCAGAAGTTTATATTTAATTCATGAGGCAGTCTTGTATTTAGTATCTAGCTAGATTCAAATGGGGGGGGGGAAATAACGTCAAAATGACACTACTTAATTTTTTTGGCATATTAGGAGCATCCCAAATAAGAATATTGTCAATACATGTTTTTTTTTTTTATTATTCTAATTATAAGAGTAGGTCTTGTGGAATTTGATTCCCAGCAATTAGCTATATTTTTTGGAGTTGGTGCTTTTTTTAAGTGCACAAAATAAACAGCTAATTTTAATAACTTCTTTTGATATTATTTTGTAGGTTTGGCTTCGTCTCAGTAACACAGCAATATTTATCTACCATCATTCTTCCCTTAACCTGAAACGAAAATGAGATTAGCAAAGTTTGTTCTTTGCAGGAGAGACGTATGCAGTGTATACAGCAGTGGTTCAGTCTTTCCTCTTTTCCATATGCTTTAGGCTTGTGCTCATGTTGGCAAACCTGTGGTGATACAGCTTGTTATAGCAAATGGGATTATTAGTTTGACTCTGGCCATCCTTTGCCAGCTAACTTAGAGGCACTTCAGTTTTCTGTGTTTGGTTTTATATGTCTAATAATGTTTTAACCTAGACTACTAAGTGTGAAATGTAAGAAAGGATCTCTCAAATTTGAAAGTACAGCAGGAGTTCATTGCTCCATAAAAATACCCTGTTAGTGTTTTCTGACCTTAGTCTTGTGTATTTGGAGGTAGACTTTGAAGAGGCTTGTTTGTAGTAATTAAGAGGCAAGTTCATGCCCAAGTGTGTTTTAACATTGCTTTGCATTTTTGCTCTTGCCCTTCCTCTGCTGTAACCTTCTCTGCTCCCTTTTTCTTTTTTAGTTGCTCTGCCCTACATTGGCTCTTGCTTGCATCTCTTCTACCAAAGGACTTATTCCAGTTGCTCCATCTACCCCTGTCTGTCCTTTACCACTTCCCATACTGTTCAGCAAGTCTGCTAATGCTTTTTCTTTCTTTGAAATAAGGAAGAATTAGGGCTGTAGTCTTGCATTTCAATTCTACTGCTCTGACCTGGTAACAGATCCCAGACTTGTCACTTCAGGGAGAATTCCACCTGTATTTCTAGCCTGGGCTGAAGCATGCAGAGATGGGAATGACTGCTTGAGATCAGTTTTATCTCCAGTGAGTACATGCAAACAGGTGTTTACATGCCCTGAAATTGGCCAGATGTAGGTAAAACACAAGGCAGAAATAAAGGAAAAGGCATGTTTCTGAGAATGTAGCTGCTAATGTCCTATTAAATATCAAAATACAGTATAACTTCTAATTTGGAGAAGGATTTTTACTTTTCAAGAGGATTTGTTGAACCTGATGCTAAAGGCTGCTATATATTGGGGTATGATAGAAAAGTATCTACTTCCTGTCTTATTTTATTCTTGGATGTATTCCCAATATCTCTGATTGAATTGGCTGACCTGTTCTGGAAGTGCCTGAACAGCAGTGCTTGAACACCATGGTTTTCTGCCAGTGTTTTAATATAGGCCAAAATTGTTTTTGTAACTGAAGATGGACTGTAAACTCTATCAGTTCTATTTAGTTGCTTTTTAATTGTTTCTGTTAAGAGTGTGATAACCTGTACTGAAAGGAGAGGAGTCCATCTCTGGGGCTCTTGTGTCAGCAGTCTGATTCTAGCTTTTTGCATGCAGATCAGTTTATAGGTTGTGCTTTTTGTATGCTTGTATATATTTTAGAACATCAAAAATAGTGATGGAATTATTTCAGTAAAACAAAGTCTCTTACATTGCAAATGCTGCCTGTATTTCTTAGTTAATAAAT